AGATCAGCATAGGGGGAAAAAGTGTCAAGTGTCTTTTGGACACAGGTAGCAATGTGAGCACATTGGCGGAAAGTTTTTTTAGAGAGCACTTACATGGGGAAGATAGAGATATGCACAGCACCTCAAAGTGGTTGCGGATTACAGCTGCTAATAAATTGCCCCTCCCATATTTGGGATACGTCGAGTTGGATATTCAGGTGATGGGAGTAACGATACCTGGCTGCGGATTCTTGATAGTCCGAGACCAGAAAGATGGAGAAGTTGATCATTCACTGCCAGGCATACCCGGCATGAATATTGCTCAGTGCTGCAAACAGCTGATTATGGCCGAGTTTGATAATGCCTTGGCAGGATCGCTAGACTCAGATTGGCGGGATGCTTTTAGTAAGGTGCATGGCGAGGCCCTGATGGGAGCAAACTCTACAGTTCGAATAGCTGGAAGATTTAAAACGCGTGTGCCGGCGGCCTCAGTTGCCATGGTTCAGGCTCGAGTTAGTAAGAAGCTGCCCATGACTAAGGGTGTGATCATGCTTGAACCTGGGGCAATGCCATTGCCAGGGGGTTTGGTTCTTGTGCCCATGGTGGTGTCGGTTGAAAGACGGGTGTTTCCTGTACGGGTTCTGAATTTGGCACTGGAAGATGTGTGGCTACCACCAAAAGCCAGGCTTGGGGTACTTTCCCGAAGTCATCAGGTGGACAGTGGGGCCTGTGACGTAGCATTCCGACGGATTTACAGAGATCATGAGGAAGTCACTGTCAGCGTGAGGTCGATGACGGAGACCAAAGGTGACTTGCAGTGTCCCTTCGACAGGGTACAAATGGGTGGGACTCCGGTTCAGCAGGCAGAATTGCGAGCATTGTTGAGGGAGTACGCGGATGTGTTCACAGTGTGTGATGAGGATCTTGGGTACACTGATCGGGTGAAACACGAGATTCCCGTGACCAATGACATGCCTGTCGCTCAAGCATACAGACGTATATCTCCCAACCAGTTTGAGGAGGTGAGTTAGCATATTACCGGATTGCTGAAGTAGGGGGTTATTAAGGAAAGCTCAAGCCCATATGCGTCCCCAGTGGTCCTAGTCAGGAAGACTGACGGGAGTCTGCGGCTGTGCGTAGACTACCGGAAACTAAACTCGAAGACCCAGCGGGATGCATTTCCCCTGCCGAGGATAGACGAGAGTCTAGAAGCACTGTGTAATGCCCAAGTGTTTTCAACCATAGATCTGGCGAGTGGCTATCACCAAGTAGCGATGCACAAGAAAGATCAGTATAAGACCGCCTTTGTCATGCCATTCGGACTGTATGAATATGTGCGGATGCCGTTCGGTCTCTGTAACGCACCGGCAACATTTCAGAGACTCATGCAGGCCATAATGGGTGATTTGGTGTTCCAGATGGTTATTGTCTACTCTGATGATCTTTTGGTCTATTCGAGTACGTTCGAGGCTCGCCTGTCTAGACTTGAAACGGTGCTTTGCCGGCTGAGGGAATCAGGGTTAAAGATCAAAGTGGAAAAATGCCACTTTCTCCAAGCAGAGGTAGGGTTTCTAGGACACCAAGTTTCGACCCAAGGGGTAGGTCTTGACCCCGACAAAGTCAGTGCAGTAGTGCAGTGGCCAGTGCCTAGGACAGTGAAGGAACTGCGATCCTTTTCGGGATTTTGCAGTTATTACAGCTGATTTATTGTGGGTATACCAAGGTTGCCGGACCTTTGCACGATGTTGTGAATTTGTGCACCAAAAAGGGCAGTGGGTCCCAATGTGACAAGTTATTTCAAGGCTCTTGGACATCTGAATGCCAGCAGGCATTTGAGCTTCTCAAGAAGGAGCTGACCTGCGTTCCAATACTGGGATATGCCGACTTGTCCCTTCTGTTTGTGTTAGAGACAGATGCCAGTAATTTGGGCCTGGGTGCTGTCCTTTACCAGCTTCAAGATGGGAGGAAGAAAGTAATTGCCTATGCAAGTAGGAGGCTGAAAGGTGCTGAACATAACGACCACAACTACAGCAGCATGAAACTGGAACTCCTGGCCTTAAAGTGGGCTGTAGTAGAGAAGTTCAGGGGTTTTCTGCTGGGGTCTCGGTTTACTGTTCTCACTGACTGCATTCCGCTCTGTCACCTTAACACGGCAAAGCTGGAGGCAGTGGAGCAGCGGTGGGTGGCCCAACTAGCTGTATTTAATTTCTAGACCTGCTACCGACTGGGTCGTTGTAATACAGTGGCTGACGCTCTCTCCCGGAGGCTGGGGTTGGATGAAGTTCATGTAGTGGCCAAAGATACCGAGTTTGATGGCTGTGTGGCCATTTGTAGTGAGCTGCATAGGGGAACAGTCATAGACCCAGATCTTACAGTGTTGGGACCAGCACTAGGGGAGCTTACAGAGGGGAAAGTAAGCGCAGACTCTGCCCTTGGAAACACTCCAACGTTACCTGGGTATACTAAGGAGGAGCTTTGTCGTCTTCAAGATGCGGATCCTTTCCTGAAACTACTGAAGCAGGTTTGGCGTGCCCGAAAGAAGCCCTCAGTCCGTGAGAGACAGGGACTGCCCCGACAAGTGCGGTTATTGCTCAGTGGAGTAAGATCAAGGAAGATGAAGGATTATTGTATCGTGTAGTAGATTATGTATTCCTAGGCGAGCGTCAACAGCTGTTACTTCCCACTTGCTTGGTTGAGCCAGTGCTACGGAGTGTCCATGATCAAATGGGACACCAGGGAATCGAGAGAACACTGAGCTTGCTCAAGCCAAGGTGCTATTGGGCAGGGATGCATGAAGCTGTAGACACCTGGGTGAAGAATTGTCATCGCTGTGGCTTGCTAAGTTGCCGCAGCCTAAGATTCGGGCTTTCTGGACCCCTTTTCTGGCTTCCCAACCACTGGAAGTGGTCGCTGTTGATTTTACCACTCTGGAGCCTTCCTCTGATGGTCGAGAAAATGTTCTGGTGGTGACGGACGTCTTCACAACGTTTTGTCAGGCGTTCCCCACACGTGACCAGAAGGCGGATACTACCACTAAGGTGCTCCTGAAAACATGGTTTCTCAAGTATGGGGTGCGGCAGAGACTGCACTCTGACCAGGGGAGAAACTTTGAGAGCACAGTCATTGCGGAACTTTGCAGGTTGTATGGGGTGCGAAAGTTGAGAACCACCCCATATCATCCGCAAGGGAATCCCCACTGTGAGCGGTTTAACCGCACTCTACATGACCTGTTGCGCTCGCTACCCCCCGACAAGAAGAAGAGATGGCCTGAACACTTACCGGAATTAGTGTATGCTTATAACGTGACGCCCCACTCCTCCACGGGATACTCCCCGTATTTAATGTTGTTTGGTACACTACCGCACCTTCCGGTTGATGCTTTGTTGGGACGGGAGTCTGAGGAAGGTATGGAAACCAACTGGTTGTCTGTTCACAGTGAGCGACTCCAGGATGCTCATGCTAGAGCGAGAGAGTATGCAGAAAGAAAAGCAGCGGAACGGACTGAACAGCATGAGAGTGAGGTGTATTGCCCGGAGATTGCTTTTGGACAGCAAGTTTACTTGAGGCACCGTCCGGCAGGGAGAAATAAGATTCAGAATGCATGGGCACCACAGGTCTACGTGGTGAAGGATGTTCAAGGAACTACCTATGTGGTGGAACCAGACGGAGGCGGTGTGCAAAAAAGGGTCCATCGGTCTCACCTTCAACCTTGTCCATAACCAACCCCAGTGCCAGCACCGTGTAGGAAAGTAAGCTTTGCGAAAGAAGTTGTTAGTCCATTGCACGAGGAAATATTATCTCCTCCAGACATCGAGTGTGTAGTTGTAGAGGAGACTTGGCGTACTGCGACATCAGCGGATGAATGTATGAAACGATCCAGTTCCCAGGTAGATGATTTGATTGCACCTGAGATTGAAGAACAAGAAAGTGTTGAGGAGACACTTACTGCATTGGAAAAGAGTGTAGATGAAGGAGGTGATGGCATGGGGGTGGTTCCTATAGACATGGGTCTGGATACTGTTGAAAAGCGTCCAGTCCCTGCCCAAAGGAGAAATTTGGCAGCCCCGGTTGAGCCTAGAGTACCCGCCCCGGCACCACGTCGGTCACAAAGGCAGACTGCGGGTAAGCACAGTAACCCGTACAGCCTGCCCAAGTCAGTTTGCAATGCGGTGTCCTTCAGCCCAGACATTTTGTCTCAAGTTTTGGCTGGCATGGTAATGTATACAGCCGAAAAACTAAAAAGTACTGTGGACGGTTAAAAGGGAAGTCCACGCGGACATTGACTTATGGCAGGGGAGAGTGTTGCCAGGTAACAAAGAGTAATCATCACAAGAATTGCCTGCGGTCATGCCTATCCTTCATTAGGGGTAACTCTCGTGCGTCTGAGCAGCGCGGTGAGAAGAGCGGAAAAAAAGAGAGTGTTTATTTCTGGGGAACGGTTTATGATTAGGGGCTTCACGGGCATGCGTGAGTTGAAGTGTGTGGGCTGGAAAACAACACAGTTTGTTGTTTGGTCTGGGGGAAAAAAGGGGAAACCCTCGGTTGGGTGTTGGTCTGGTCGCTGAGCAGTTTGGAGCAGTCTGTGATCACACGGATTTTGGATTTCTCCGTGGGTGAGAAATATCTGCATAGAGGAATCGTGCAGGCCGCAGAGATCGAGCATGAGTGATATTTAATGTGAACGTTGAGTTTAGTACATGCCATTTATATTGTGAAGTGGAAGGGAAAGTAAACCAAACTTCTTTCTCCTTTAATAAAACAATACTAGAGGGGAGAACGAAGGCACATGAAGGTGCATGTGAGGTGACAACTGAGTGAATTTCAAATGCGACGCATCGCGCCATGGAGTGAGTAATATTTATTTCATTTGTTTTTGGGAAATGTATATGTATACTCAGAGAAAATGGTTCACTAGTTGTATACTGTTTTGATGTCAATATTAATTTGAATTCATTAATAATCTGTCCTTGGAGAAGAAGATAGTAATAACAATGTTAATAGAGATGTACAGAGTGTAAAATGGATTTACTTTAATTTATTTAGTCAATAGTTGTAAGTGGCTTATGAGAACGTGTATTTGATTATACTTCTATGTTTGTTCTTCCTTTAGAAAGCATCATTAGCCACTACCGTTGTTTATCTGGCGGTTAAGTGCTCACACCAAGTTTCATTGTACTTTGTTTAATTAATTAATTAATTTATTTATTTTTTGTTACTGTGTGGCTATCCTTGTAAAGGGAAAAAAAAGGGGAATTGGCGAACCTGGCCTGAAGTGATTTCTGTAACTGTGAGAACTACTTGAAGTGCTTATAATTTTGGTTTGTTTCTTTATACCTTTAGGGAAGCGTGCTTTTGGTTGTGTTTATTCTTCACTGTATAAATTTCATCGGCACAACTCCCCTCAATGGGAAACCTTGAGTATTAATGCCGCGTCTTCTGCGTACGCGGTCGGAAATAAAGAACCCCTAGTTTAGATACTTGGCAGTGTTTGGGTTTCTTTAATAATGTACACATTCACACGGCCACACAATAATGAGATATTTCTATGATAATTAATGACATAATTTATTTTGATCTTTGGGTTAAATATAATGTGGACATGTTTTTGGATTTTATAATATTCACCAGATTGCTTTCCAAAGATTTTTTTTGGAGTCTCGTTCATTTATCGTGTTTAAATGCAAAGTAACATTTTTGGTGAATGCACTTTGTGTCCACATTTGTATGACATTATAATCAGCAGGTCAGGGAATGATCTGAAGCAGGTGGTTCCTTATCTGTGTAGCAATCATCTACAAACTCCATTAGTGACGTAGCAAAGCCCCTGGCTATCACCACATCACATGCACAGCCTTAACTACTGAGCTTTTTTTTTTTTCTTTTTTTTTTTTTTTTTTGTAATCTCCCTTTTTTAGCAGTCTTAAATGCAATAACTAAAATAATAATTTTCCTAAATAACTTTTCTTGTCGGCTTACCAACAGTTTAATTCTCCATTTAGTTCCCATGGAAACCTTTTGTAACTGGTAGCAGGATAGATGAAAACAAAGATCCTGTGCTCAGACAGAGAGAAAGAGAGGGAACTGTGGATGAGAGTCCACCTACTCACGGAGCTGGAACAGAACAGCTCTTAGTCGGTCAGAGAGCACTGCCACATCAACACTACCGCTCTCACGCTCCACCTGCTATAAAACCAGCACCGCAACAGCAGCTAATTCACATGCAAACTTCATTGTCTTCACAGGAACTCACTGCGCATGATTCATCAGTGCATGTTGTTCTAATGAAAATAATGCTTGCCTGCATCATCCAGGATCAACAAGTCCCACCCTGCACTGATTTCTGCTGAATATACATTTTATTGGGATGATTGGTATACTTCTCATTATTTGTTAAATATCTGTAGAGGAGCAAATCTTCAATTTACCCAACTAGATGCAAATTAAAGCTTAAATCCTTTGATGAGAAACACATTTAATGCAACAAATTGTTATTGTTCCATGCAGTACTGGTCAAAAGTGATGTCTGGCTTAAAAGTGACTTTGAATATCTTGTATGTGATGTTATGCTGATGTAGATTTCTAAGCATATTGCGTAGGTGTGTTCGGAGAGGGTAAAGCCTTTCTATGTGCTCCGCATTACAATCCTTTCATTTGTGATCTGCATATTGAGGAATACCAATGAGAATGGCTGCTAATCAAATACAAGCGAGAGCGAGCCAATGAAATACTAATAACCAATTATATTGTCAATGTACACATTATTATTCAGTTTTTATTCACACATTATTGTTTGTTTTCTATGCATTTTTCACATAGTATTTTTTCCCAAATAGTTTTGCCAGCCAAGTAGTTTTTTCCTCTTACAACAAGTTCATTATTTTGATGGTTTAATTGAACTTAATCATTAATTCTTTCCCTGCAAGTTTTCATAAAATGTTCATGACTCCCAGAATATTGTGTTGTATGAATATCTGAACATGCAAAATGTCAAAAAAAGAACAGAGCCTCTGCTTGAAAAAATCAACAGATGAATGCACAATTTTCAGTAAAAAAGCAATTTTGAACAAAAAGCTGAGAAAACTGTGTTTTTGTAAACGACAATGACTGATTCAGATTCAGAACGATGATAAAAACATAGATAAAGTCGATCGTTTCCATCAACACATCCAAAGCTTCACATCCTGCATCGACATTCATTCTGTAACTTTAGGCAGTTTTAATTTATATGCTGTTTAATGTTTGATGATCACATTTTTACATATGCATCTGCTTAAATACACTGAAAAAAAAATGATACAAATTTTTTAAGGTAAGTTGTTGCAAACAATTTATTTTAGCTACATTTAAATTAAAAAAAATGTTGAAAGTTAGTCAACTAAATTTGTTTATTTAAATTTAGCTAAAATAAATTGATTGCAACCACTTACCTTAAAAATTTTTTGTAAATTCAATGAATCATTTTTTTTTTCAGTGTATGTGATTGTTTGTTTGTGCTTCTTCTTCACTGTGTTTTGATCTGGAGATTCAGTAGTCTATCAGAAGATGCATAATAGCACCTCCTACTGTATAACAATGAAACCACAGAAAGACGAAAAAAAATCTGTCAACGGTGGGAAAGGGTTAAAAGCAAATATTGTGCAAATGTCCACTCCAGACATCACTTTTGGCCACTGCTTTATGTGAGTATAAGACTCTATGTTCACAGATTATTGGTCATATGCAGTTTTTGCCGAATAACACTGAAATTATTAACTTGCGATCTGTGCAGTCGCAAAATACTCTGCTTAGATTCAGTCCACTCTTCTAGACAGTAACTTTCCATTTTAGAGAAGGCAGCTGAGGAATGAGGTGGAGATGGGGAGCGTGTCCTCAGGTTAACATTGCACTGAAGCACTTAAGAGTCCTCCAGATGAGAAACTACTGTAATACAGACTCTGAAAGCGCAGACCTCACTTACAGCAGATGCCATTTTTATTCGACACAGAGGAAAATTAGGTCTCTCTGATATGCTGTTCTGTCTTATGCCATGTCTAATTTTCACAACTCATGTTATAGTCCACTGGAGATCTGTGGAAACATGCATTTTCAGTGTTTTGTCAAGTGAATGTTTGACACTCAGTACTGCAACATATTAAATGAACTGTACTTCATCCCTCAGAGCCACAGTTTTGTTCTTGTCAAATTAAACATGCTGTTGACTCTGACTGAGCTATATTCTTTGGAAACCTGTCAGTAGTCATTTCTCAACCGCAAACAGAACGCCAGGGGCATGTCGGGGCAGGACAGGGCAGCTTTATTTCAGTGAGGTACCCTTTTGTTTTGTGCCCTTTTGAGTTGCAGTACAAATGCTGCATACTCCAATTTTTTTTTTTTTTTTTTTTTTTTTTTGGGGATTTTGGGGAAAAATACGGGCTTGGGCCTATATTTGAGGCCCGTGCAGGGCTCTAATCCACTTCATCCAACGCTGTTTTGTT